GCCCCTCTTCGCCTTCCGGCCCCCGCGGCGCGCAGCGCGCAACGGTGCTGCCGGGAAACGCACTTCCCTCGCGCGCCACCCGCGCCCCGCGGCGCCACTCGACTGCGCTCGGCGCGTGGGCGGGGGCGGGGAGACGGAAGCGTGCTCAGTCCCTCCTGGCAACCGACCCGTTGCAAAAGGAGGGAAATTACTTTAATGCGCACTCCCTTAGCGTCGCAGAAAAAAAGCTCTGTTCTTCTGCCTGAAGAGATATAGTGTTTAATATTCAATGTGAGAAACAATTAATAACAAGTGGTTGCAGCTAGTAAATAAACTGCAATTTACAAATTAAGAAAAACAATTAAGTTAATTCCTACTTTGTGACATACGCTGAAACAAAATGTAGTTAAATTATAAATTATTATTATTAAGTCAATAGTGATGACTGGACATTCTCGAAGGTTTCGAAGATCACAAGATAAATTGTAAAATATGACATTCGAGTATGTTTCAACTAATGATTTATTTGTTGTTCAGTTAATACCAGAATGCGAATATTATTATATTATTGACTTCAGTGTGTGTAAAACTTTACCAAATGTGAGAACAACAAATTTCCTTGTACGATGTCGTCTATTACACTTTCAATAAAAATCAAAAGTTCGGGTGTAAGAAAAATACAGAAGATGCGTGTATATTTACCTTCGCGTTAACATTATTTGACATAAAATCGATTTTGGTTTTGAAATGCTGCCAGGAAATGAGTATATAAGGGCGGCCGGCATGCGACAGCGCTGTGGCAGCGGTGGGAAACCTTCAGAAAGAAGAGCGAGAGATTGGCTTGAGGAAATGGGGTCAGAGGGACGAGGTGGGACAGGGGGAGGGAGACGGGGGGCCAGAAGGTCAGAAGGAGGTAGGACTTGCATAGTGCAGAGTTTAGTTGGGGGAGGGGCCGAGGCGTATCTGCGGTATGGCAGATACGGCACGTCACATGGACGCCACTCGCAAGGAACGCTGTTTAGTGTATACCCTCTAAAACAAATAACAGCCTTAATTTGAAGTAATCTAAGCTTGCCGCAGGCATCTGAATGCCTAGATACGACTCTCGCAGAGGGAGCGTGTTGAGCAGTGAGGTTTGTGAGTCGAGGACAGGATGAGCGTGGAGGAGGGGTTTGCGTTAAGGTGAGCCAGGGTGGGGGGTGGGAGGCAGGGTGGATCTGGGTGTGGTGTGTGTGCGAAAGAGTGGGACGCGGCTGGGCTGGTTTGCTTGGGCCCAGTTGTGTAGTCCGAACGTCGTTCAGAACAGCTGAGCCCCTGTTGCACGACGGAAGAAAAGGGTCGATTTCATTTCATATAATCATTTCTTTCGAAACTGATACTAATTTTAAAAACAATAAGCGGGCCTCTCTGAAATCGAGTTAAACTATTTTCCCTCGCGAAACGTTTTCCGACTTATATTACCGTCCCAAAAAACGTGTATCACGATCGAATCATTGAAAAACAAAACGATACCCTACGAAGACCAGAACGAGAGAGTACAACACTGAGACCATAACGTTTCCCTCTTTCTAGACTTCCATTTCGGAAGCGACACTTCCAAGAGTTCAAGTGCTGCTACACTCCATAATTCGACGATGCCTTAAAATAAGTGTAAGTGCACTAGAAAAATCATCCAAATATCTTAAATTAGACGAGAGTGCTAAAATTAAAAAAAAAAGTGTGAAAGAAATATAACCAGGTGTGATCAGAATCAAGTGCGATCAAGACTGACAAACTATAGAAAAATCTATGTATATCCTAATGAATGCATTTGCTTTGTTGCATTTTGGCCTAAGTCATAATTTGCACGAAATGTCTAGTTTCTTGGGACGTACTTCTCGCTTCTACGAAGAAATGTATCCAGAGCATGCCTACCCACAAGAGTGGGTCTGCAGCCATAACGCAAAGCAACGGCTATCTCTTCTAGTTTGTTTGCAGGATTTTCAATGGAATTTCTTTCGATATATTTTCGGGAACATTTAACCTTCTCTTGAATTCCTTCCCGCAACAAAATTGCGTGCACAAATGCGACGCAATGAGGGAAATAGGTGAGGAGAAGAGTCAGAGACGTTGGGAGTAAGTGATCCCGGCAATGCCCCAATTATTTTCATGGCCACGAATGTTCTAAATACAACTCATTATAAAGTCTTCTGGTATGTGTTTAATTATTTGTAGTAGATCATTAAGAGGAAACGCCCAGAAATTGTAAAGTGTCAGAATCATTCTCGACGGAAATGGTCGTGACCGTGTGCTCCTGACCCTAAATTGCCTCAATGCCACAACATCTAGATTCGCATTTGTTTGAGTATAGCTTCTCACCAACCACTGACCTCTCTATATAATAATAGTATTATTATCATATTAAATAAATATAATACTTGTTTTATGCACGGATTAATGCATGGTATTTCCGAGATCACGCGATTGTTTCAGTGCGTGTTTAGTGTGATTTGATCATGTGATTAGACTCGCTAATTCTTGTGGTGCGGCTTTTTCTGCCGCAACTGAAACGTAACTTTGACGTTCTCGTAAGCGCAGAGCGTCAAATGAGAACTCGCACGAAATTGAGCTCCCAGGGCGAACGGGGCAGCGCTTCGAGGCCGGGCGCGCCAATCAGGCGACGCCAATGGCACGAGTGCAGAGGCGCGAATTATCTCATACAGAGCCGCAATGAAAGCTTGGTCAGGAAATGTGATATGTGTAGCAATAGCACGACAAACCGTATTTAACACCACGTACCCATTTTCAGCGTGTGATTTACCTCCATTACACCAATTATTTCCTCTTCCTAAACGTACGTTTCCACGTTGTCACATTTTTCACGAGTGCGTTGAGCAAATAGCTCGGGCATGCTTTCTCCGGAGGACAGATTTTTCACCTTCCTGAAAATATGCGCACAAGAGATGACGCGCAGACTTTTCTATGTGTACCCTTTATCCGCGAGTAACCATAAATTAACTGATGGTGCGTGGTTTTCATAGACACCCTTGCACTCCACGTCCTGATTCGCAGGTCTTGTACATTTCGCTGGACTTGGCGCATTGGACCAATTCTTTCTTGACATTCCACGGACGTGTCTAATGTTTCTGAAAGAATGTGCGTACAACAAAACACTTTTCCCAGGAAAAAACCTCCTAGACACAAATATATTTACAACTTCGAATTGAAGTGGTTCTTGACAGACAACTCATTTTCATAAAAAGTTCATCGTTTAAAATGAACATGAATGACCTTATGAGGCGTGTCAATAAATGCTTGAACAGGAAGAGAGGTTCTGCACATTAACGTTCTTGATCCCCTGCATAACCACTTCCAAGATGCCTTGTAATTCGCCAACCACGCCTTTGCACTTTCCGGCTATGTGTCATTTCCCTCTAATCATCTCCAGGCGCATTTCAAATGTCTCCGTGGGATCAGAGCTCCATTGAAAGCTTCCAGGGGAAGAGACATGCACGGCCACTCCCGAAACACCAAACGATCTTCGTTGGAACGGATGCCCTTTACCAAAGCACAAATTAATTCACCAACAGTCCATTGAATGTTATGTCGGAAAAGAAAGTGTGTGTTAACTGTCACATCTTCATTTCGTACATTTGCACATAATTTATAATTGTCTTATGTTTTGTTGAGCTCTTCTTTTTCTTGTATCAGTAAGAGTAGAACTGGGTCTGAGTTACTATTTTGTTAGCAATGCAGATGAATCAAATCTGCAGTTCGCTCACCGATGGAAATAAGTTATCGATAACTTGGGATCGAAAAGTTCTACTTTTGTTGCTAATCTCGCGCCTTTTAAAATTTTATTATTTATATTGATCGTTTTATTTTCTTTAATTTTATTAATCTATCAACTATTTATAGTTAAAATGTTGGGGAGTATTTCTGGAGGTTAATTAAACGTGTGCAAGTGTTCTTCTCACCATATGACACAATGTTTACTGGTTTTTGACTAAATGGATCAATTCAAATCAGATTGAGCTGATTCCATCACTAATATCTATTGGAAACGTCACCCACGTAAGGTGACAAAAACGACTGCTTCCACCACAAATTTGAATTAAGAAATTATATTCTGAGATACATGTACTATGATAGAGTACATCTTAGCATACATTTTTGGTGCATGGTCAAATCAACCGGAGTCAATTTGGGGCCAATTTTAGTTTTTCGCAGAACTTGGACTAGAAAAGTCCAAAGTTTGTAATTTATAATAAAGTACATCTGGATTCAATATGAGCATTGACCAGACAGAAGCCACTAATACTAAACGAAAGTTTGTGTTCTTACTGTCAATACTGTGTGCAAAAGGAAAAACTTCTCATTCATTTTATATACATATTTGAAACCTCAAAATAATTCCCTATCATTATATGGCATTGTATTAATTCTTTCTAATATTAGACATGTTCGCAATCCTTTCACAAATTGGTGTTTGCCGAGTACAGGAAACTTCCGTTTAAACGCTGTCTGGAGCCAAGAGGATTTGTAGGCAAAATCCAAACACTGGGCGTTATCCTCAGCGAAAGAGGAGTCGCCGTTTTCTCTTCAGTTATTAACTTCTGTTGTGAGAACCACACGAAGCACCATTCATGTACGCGCTTGACAGCTGGGTCTTGGCAAAGGAAGCGTTGCCGCCGCGTTACCTGATCTATTTATTACTATTTCATGTCTATTTTGTATTTAATTCCTGCCTTGTATAAACATTTTACCAAGAGACAGAAAAGTTTTTTTGTTCTTGTTGTTTTGTTTTATGTTTTATTAAGTATTGTTTTTTAGCAGTAGTGTGAAATTACATTAACATTTTGTGTAACTTTTCCCTCTTACAGACCCTCTTTTAACAGCTCTTTTAACAGGAGGAATAATATATTTCTAAATTTCTTAGTCTCAACTAATACAATGATTGCACTATTAAGTAAATACGATTACAAAATTTTAAAAAAATATTTTCAATTTAAAATATTTAATATTGTTCCCAATTGAGAATTTGAAATCTGACTGATTTATTATTTCATTTGAATTTATCACTTCGTTGCTTTAGTGGAGGAAATGGGAATTAATAGAGCAAACTTTGGGCCAATAAGTTTCAACCTCTTCAAAATACTGTCATGGACGAGTAGTCCAGTGATGTACAGCCATTCACGAACAATTTTAACTCGTACAACACACTTTTAAATCTCGGCCAGCTGCAGTGGGTGCGGAACCCATAAACTCAAGTTAGCTACTAGTTACCTGGAACTGCCTGGTCAGTACTTTCTCAACGAGGTGAAATGTTGACTTTGAACTATAAAAGTATGGAATAATCAATCCCTGAGCTGTTTCGACCCGCTCTCTTTTCATTTATTCATTCTGACTTGTG